GACGCGCCCGGCTCGCCGGCCCCGGGACGGCCGCGGCTGCTTCCCCCCGCGGGGGGAACGCGCCTCACAACCCTCCCCTCTCTCTGTCCGAGCACATCGAAAGCGGAAACTGGCTTCATTACGAAAAGAGCATTAGGAAAAAAGAAAACACAAAACCCCTGAGACATCTCGGCCGACTACATGCACTAACAGGCAGACGGACGCTCCAAGCAGGGAGAGCAATTCACTTCCTAACCTGACGCAGCTGAAAGAGGCGGAAGACTTCAGCAGCAGCTAGCCTCGGCTCTGCTGTACGTGTGGTTTGAGAGACATTTCGGTACGCGGAGAGTTAGGAGCAACATCTCTGCTGACAAAAGATCCAATAAAATAAGAATGGTTAACTCTTATCAAAATACTTGCTTTCCTCTACTGTTTTGTCTCTGTTTTCTTCCTGTTGTTTTAAACCACATTTCTTTACCCTGACCTCGTTTCCTCTGAAAACATTTAAGCTAAAATGAACAACATCTGGAAAAAAAAAGCAGCTTCAGAACATACTTCAAAGAGGATTCTTTTTTTTTTTTTTTTAAACATACATATAATATTCACCCCCACATGCTTTTATATATATAAAAACTACTTATTCTCAAGGTGCATTGTACCACATTAATAGTAAAATGATTTCTTTCTTCTGATTGTTAAGAACGTACTACAAGGGAGGTTATAACAAATTATATAAGTCCAATGATTGAAAGAAAATAGGGATAATGGTTCTAGATATTCCATTGCAGCTCAAATGTGTGTATTTGCTTCTAACTTGTTACACTGGTGCAGAGTGCTAGTGCCGACTCAGCCAGCCCCCACAGACAATGAAAGTGAATAGCACAGATTAAAAAAAAAAAAAAGTTTTTGCTCCCATATAAGAACAAGTAGGAAGGCACATGCTGAGAGACAGCACTTTCTTTCCTAGTACTGATTTTTGGGTCGTGCATGGTAAGAGCAGGGTGTCGGATAAACAGATTTGAGCTAAGCTAGGTATAGGACAGGTGAAAAGAGGGGAGGTGAAAGTGCAGAGAATACAAAGGTCTGACTGGAAAAATACCAAAGATGACAGCACAGTAACAAGTTACATAATCTTATTCTAATGTTTGATGCACTTTATGTTCAGGGTTTATTCATGCCTGTCCTTATTGAAGATATATTTAAAAAAAAAAAAAGCACGATTGTGTCAATTTATGGACTAGAGTCTAAGTCAGGTTTACCACATCTCTGGTTGTTAAAAGGAAGAAAATCAATGGTGGAGGGGGAAACCCTTAATGCCAGTGCCATATCCTTCTCTTCCAGCATCCTTGCTGTTTCCAATAGCTCTGCCACCCTGTTTTTCAGTTAAACAGCAAAAATAATTTTGAATGCAGATTAAAGACTTAGCATACTGCAGAGCGCTCAGCCTCAATGCAGTCAAAAGCAAACAGTGAATATAAAGGTGACTAGATGGGGGGACAGAGGAGGGAGAACTAATACACAACACCAAAAAAATTTTTCCTTTAATTTCTTTTGGTGGAAAAAGAACAGCAACTGAAGTTGCCTGAAGATGTTACTGGTATTTTTCATGCGGCCAGGGACAGGCGGGATTTTTGTGTCGAGACTGTCTCCTTAGAAGTTGCTGATGGAAACATTCTGTTCAATTGGATCCAAAAAACCCTGAAGTCTCAGAAGCTTCACAGACCATTCGTGCAGACGTACAAAAGATTTAAGTTCTGGTTACAGAATTATTTGAAAACGTACACTAATTTACTTCTCAAACACATTATGTTTCTTCTTCATCTTCGACAGGCTTAGAAATCAGGAAATTGTGTGTCAGAACTGGATGACTTGTCTTTTTCTTGCTTGATTCTTCTGAACTATTTCCATAGAAACTTTGGCTTCATACAATGGGATCGGTTCATCCAGCTGAGGCCTAAAACAGAACAACGTGTTAAAAATGTCTGGTGGGTATGCTCAGATCAATAAAAACATTCCAAGGACTACTGCTATAGACTTTACTTTCACTATGTAAACTTTACTCCTTAAACAAAAGGAAAGTTTTATAGCTTTGCTTGGATCCACAGAAGAAAAGAGGAGCCATAAAGCAAATAGGAAGCAGAAGTTTAATTAAAGATATC